TAAGCTGTCGCTCTGTTGTGTTCTGGCGCAGTGGGATTTGGTGTGTGACAGCGAGTGGAGAGTCCCGTTCGCAAGCTCAACACTATACATGGGCTACTTGCTGGGCTCTCTTGTTTCTGGCCAACTTTCTGAAAGGTACTGCTTTTGTCCTCACGTCATAATCAGTGCTAACATTCACAAACTCTTTTGATAACAACAATTTTTGTTTACTGTAAGTGGTCTGTTCCCTCCTCGAAGCTGACAGCCGCTGTTAGAGACACATGCACACAGTGTAATTCATGTGCAGTGACGACTGGTGTCTGGTGTCTCATCAGGTTCGGCAGGAGGAAGGTTTTCTTCATGTCTCTGGTGGCTGAAGCACTAGTGATCCTCGCGCAGTCCTTCTCCAACTCGTGGCTGCTCTTTTGTGTTCTGTATTTTTTTGTTGGCACAGTCCAAATATCCCTGTACATCACAGCCTTTGTGCTCGGTAAGCATATTATAAAGTGAGATGTCACTGAAGTGAATATAATCTGAGAACTATTTCACTGCCTGAGATATGCTGGAAACGCATGAGCCTGCACTCTTAAAAACAAAGGTTTGTAATAGGGGGTTTTCACAACAATGCCACAGAAGAACCATTTGGAAGAACCATCCGAAGAACCTTTCAGTGAACAGTTTTTTCTTAGTGTGAGGAACATTTTAATAATCTAAAAATGTTTTTCCATTATAAAGAACCTTTTGTGCATTGGAAAGATTTCATGCTCGTTCGGGGTTCTTCTTGAACTATTAATGCCAATGAAGAAGCTTTGTTTTTAAGAGTGTGCATGGGATATTCTAGACGTATAAATGTTATTACGTTGTCTCAGGCAGTGAAGTGCTGAGTAAGTCCTTGCGTGTTTTCTTCACGACGCTGGGAGCGAGTCTGCATTACTGCATCGGTTACATGGTGCTGCCGTGGATCGCCTTCGCCGTCCGTGACTGGAGGTCTCTACTGAGGGTTCTGTCGGGCCTGACGGTGGTCTACATCCCACTGTGGTGGTGAGTCCAAGAAAACCAGAAGGCCTTCAGAGACGCTCACACTACACTTTCACAAGCTCATGCGAAGACTTCACAAAGTTCTGAATGTAAAGAACAGAAGTTTTAAATCTGCAGCACTGCAGAAAGGTAGACTATCACATTTGGATCATTTGTTATGTTGAATTATAGTTTTTATTGCATTGCAGTGTCTCATGCTGAAAGCCTAGTGTGAGCGCATCTTTAGAATCGGCGCAGTTCTCATCATTGGCCACTTGACCCTTCAGTCCTTCCCTACAATAGATCGTCTCCATTTCCCGTGTTTTCTTCTAAACAAATGCACAGGCTGATCCCGGAGTCTCCGCGATGGCTTCTCTCTCAGGGACGCGTGCTGGAAGCTGAGGCCATCATGAGAGAAGCAGCAAAGAAGAACAAGGTCTCTGCTCCAGCGGTGATCTTCAGCAAGTCCGAGGTCTGAGGAGACTAACCCCGCTAAAATAAAAACTTTCAATAATATTCCCATTAAGTTATGAAAACTTTATTTCTGAATGTTTTTCAAACGCTCTAAACATCCAATTTTTTTCAGTTTATTAAGAATGTTTTTTTTTTTTGGTTATGCAAACATAAGAGGAATATTTCATTCCATCATTTTGAAAATGTTAAGAAAACATGACATTTCAATGTTCTCTCAATGTTTAAAACACCCATTTTTGAAACTGTTTGTCACGTAGGGTAGTCTAACTGAACACGCAAGATAAAGAATGGATATCAAAATCTTTAATAAACCAGATAAACATGCAGGAGACCAAGCAAGGTAACAACACTTCAAATAAAGAACAGAAAGAACTGAGGAAAGATAATGAAACGAACAGGGAACAGGTGTGCACTAATCAATTAGCTCATGTGTAACCCAGGTAACAAATGGGTAACTCTGGAAACAAACAAGAGATTAGTTCAACTATAAGGAAGACAGAAAATAAACACAGGAACAAAGAGCACTAGAACCAAACCAGAATAGAACATAACCATCATACTGTTATGAAAACATTATTTCTCAATGTTTTTTACATGGTCAAAGCAAGTTTTTTCTTGGTTGTGCGGCATGTGAATCTTACATTTGAATGTTCTTTCAACACATAAAACACAATTTAAAAAAAATATTTTAACATTATGAGAACATACATCAGATATTGATAATGTTATAAGAACGTTATTTTAAGACTGTTTTGTCCTAACCTTCAAGAAACGTTCCCATAGTCAGCTGGGAGGTGTTATGGAGAGTGAATCTGTGTTTGTGTGGTCATTGCTAGGTTAAAGAGGCGGCGTCCCAGAACAGTAAGTACAGCGTGCTCGATGTTCTACGGACCAGAGATATCCGCAAAACCACGTTCCTGTGTTTTCTGCTGTGGTGAGAGATTCACGCAGTCTAACACGCATGGGCCTGCATGCTTCAGTGCGATATATTTCTACCATGTTCTTCAGATGATACCACTTTCCGTAATTCAGTGAGTGTCTCTTTGTTCCTCCAATAGGATGGCCATCAACATTGGATATTTCGGCTTGTCCTTGAATACCTCTAACCTCAGCGGCGATCCCTTCCTCAACTGCTTCCTATCCGCGCTCACTGAGGTGCCTGCCTACATGGTGTCCACGCTTCTCCTGAAGAGCTGTCCTCCGAGACCCGTCCTGTCCGCTTTCCTCGTCATCGGAGGAGGGTTTCTGCTCCTGCTGCAGCTGATTCCTGAAAGTAAGAGCTCACACACACAATACTGTCAAAATGCCTTTGGCATGGATAACAAAATCCTACTGAATCCTACTGGCGATTCAGATTTAAAAATGAACCTTACATTTAGATTTGAAGAGTAAAACACTCTTGTTCATGCAACATCATCTTTCACAATACTTTCAGAAAGGGACAGAGTTTAAAGAAATTCAGATAATCAACTTAATTAGCATGATAGTATATATATGCAGCCACCTTCACCCCAGCCTGGGGTTATGGAGGACTTCTCTGGGTTCGGCTGTATTCCCAGCTCGGAGGCCTCCCCTCGGACAACTCGCCAAATATGCCTACTATTTGTTCAATCTGATTATGTGTAAGTGCGAACTCGTCAATTTACTATAAAACCCTAAAAAGCACACAGAGGACTGTGAGTTAGCGTTCAGACAAAGCATCAGCAATCGGTTTATCAACCCAATCCTATGAATGCCAGTGAGTTATGACGGGTCGAGGGTTAGCTTTCATTCTATGCAAGTAAAACTGGATTTGGACCATTTCAAGGAAAAGAGGTTAAGCCTGTTACTTGCACATTTATTACGAGAGCTGGACTGGACGTTTCCAGGGCACTTTCACATATATGAGTTTTTGCTGATTTAAGACCTTTTCACACTTAACATGAAAATTGGGCGCGAATGTTCAGAGCGATGACGCTTTTGAATTGAAAAAATAGATCCCTATGGGGCTATTCACACCAGGCGCAATCATTCGTGGCGTGAAAAAGTGAGGATTTTCCCCCATCGCTCTGTGATGAAACACATCTAATTACAGTTGAGCTCAGATCACGTGTTGTTGCACAAAAGGGCGAGAGTGGAGGCAATGTGTCGAAAACCAGCGTAAACACAGAGGAAGAGTATTCTGAGAGAGGAGCGAGTGGATGCTGAGTTCTTGTTATCATTGGTATCTGAGAACAGATTTATTCTCACGTTCTTTAAACAGAACATAATTTCTAATATGTGATTTAATTGATGTAATTATGTGATCTTAAGAGCACTGTCTGTTCCCTATCGAGCGTTCACTCACGTTGCGACGCAATAGCTGTGGGAACTACTCCCCTTCTACAAAATCATGAAGTCTTACACCAGAGGTCAGCAAGTAAGTTTGGCATCGGGCCAAAAAACATTTTCGCCACTAGATGCCAGGCCAGAACATATATACTATATATAGTCAAAGGATAATTTAAGAAATTAGTTGATGAAAAATGCAACTACAATTGCCTGTGACAGACTGTTACAGTGTCTTCTGAATATAAATAGACTTTTTTGAATGTCTTTCAGAACTTTTCAAATTAAAAGTTCTCAATTCATCTCAGAATAAAACATTACTGCAAAAACGTTCTCGTACTTTTATTTTGAAGGCAACATCACTAAAGACGAAGTGATTGTGAGTAACTGTTGCTGTCATGACAGATCTATTTCAGAACCAGCCGCTATCAAAATAATCTGACTGCGGCCGCGGGCCAGATATTATTGCTGGCGGGACAGTGTTGCCGACCACTGTCTTACAGGATAATGCCAGTTCCATAAACTTGGCAATTGACGCTAACCTATGCAAATACTGACAAGCTTGGCGGGCAAATACATCAGATTCTTCTCCTTCACTTCGTTGACCTTGTAAAGTGGAATTTTCCTGAAGATGGAAACGACTTTCTGCGGGATTTGCGAGGGCCCCATAAGCACGCCGGATGCCCATCAGCACTAACACTAACCCTAACACATCAGCACTAACCCTAATCTAACCCATCAGCACTAATCCGTCAGTACTAACCCTAACCCATCAGCACTAACCCTAATCTAACCCATCAGCCCTAACCCTAACCCATCAGCACTAACCCATCAGTACTAACCCTAATCTAACCCATCAGCACTAACCCTAACTCTAACCCATCAGCACTAATTCATCAGCACTAACCCTAATCTAACACATCAGCACTAACCCTAATCTAACCCATCAGCACTAACCCTAACTCTAACCCATCAGCACTAATCCATCAGCACTAACCCTAATCTAACACATCAGCACTAACCCTAATCTAACCCATCAGCACTAACCCTAACTCTAACCCATCAGCACTAATCCATCAGCACTAACCCTAATCTAACACATCAGCACTAACCCTAATCTAACCCATCAGCACTAACCCTAACTCTAACCCATCAGCACTAATCCATCAGCACTAACCCTAATCTAACACATCAGCACTAACTCTAATCTAACCCATCAGTACTAACCCTAATCTAGCCCATCAGCACTAACCCTAACCCATCAGCACTAACCCTAATCTAACCCATCAGCACTAA